AAAAAAAAAAAAAAAAAAAAAAAAATACAATACAAAAAATACAATAATTCTCTAAGCAAAATAATATTATCAATGATTAATATATTGTTTTGCTGTCGTCTTCAAAAATAATTACAAAATCTAAATATAATTTATAATTAATTTAATATATAATATAATATTTTAATTTAATATATAATATATAATATTAATTAATTTAATATATATATATTATATTATATAATATATAATTTCATGATCTGTACAAAAAAAATACCATTAATGATAAATCTGGTCGTATTGTTTTCAAAAACAATTACAAAATCTAATTATCGATAAATTTGTATGGACTAATTATAAATTCATAAATCAATTCATGAATCGTCTTCAAAAAAAATTACATAATCGAAATGTTAATAATATATTTTAATAATAATAATAATATTATTAATACTAATAATAATAATTTTTAAAGTAATTTATATAGAATGTGTCATTTTTTAAATTGATTGCCAAATCTATACGAATTTAGAAATATGTTCGCGATAGAGTTGTTAAAGAATTTGAATTTGAAAAAATTATGAAAATATTGAAAAATATCATTTTCCAAAATATATATTGTATATTCGTTTTTCTTTTTTAATTTTTCGCAATGTTTGATTATTTTTTTGTATTTTTTAATCAATATGGTGCGAGTTTATCTTAAAGCAAATAAATATAGATATGAAAACAAAAATATGTACAAAATTTTTTGTGACAAAAATGGAAAATAATAAGAGAACAATAGAAGATACATTAAAATGAAGAATCTTAAAACATTGAAACATAAAATGATCCATATAGGAAAATTTAAAAAATAATCAATTCTTTTATGCAAGATACAAAAATTATCAAAAATTCTTCACATTATTATGCATTTTGATTGAAATGGAAAAAGATCTGAAAAGCATATTTTAACGAAACTATTTATTCATTTTTTATTATAAATGTTATTTATAAAATAACATTTTCGAAATTGATTCAATTGATTTAATTATAGTAAAAATAAAAAAAAAAGCTAGTAAAGAAAAATATCCGCAGTGTTCTTCACAATATGAAAAATAGAGAAAAATAAAAAAAACCACCTGTGAATAATAAAACAAAGGGATTTACAGTTGAGGCACAGGATCATTCATGTTTCTATGTTGGAAATTTAAAAAAAAAAATTAATTATATCCTTTGCAATTGCATATGTAGATTCAAGAATTAATGGAGCAAAATTCTCTATAGAAATTTCTTTTTTGATTAATAAAAATTTATAAAGAAATCAATAATATTTTATTTGCTGGCATTCGTGGAATTCATTGATAATTAAAGTATGTAGTAAAGAAAATATATGCAGTGGTTCTCGTGATGCAACAAAATAGAAAACAAAAAGATTTTTTAACGCATGATGACATTTTTATGATTATATAATGATTCAGCGAGAATAATTTCTGCAATGTTTCGAGAAATCGAATAATCTAAATATTTCAACGAAAGAATTGAAGTTGAAAACAAAGGATAATTCATATTTTTCTTTTTATAAGAAATTTAAAAAAAAAAAATTAATTATATCCTTTCCAACTATTGGTTTGTTGAAGAAGTAACAAAACGAGATTTTTTATATCTTTATCTTCTTTATTGCCTCAAATTTTGATTTGAGATTTTTATTTGAAAAGAGAGATATTAAGAAGACATAAGTTTTAGCAAAAATATTTTATTGGCTGATGAAATAGCATTCATTCATCGATATATTTGGAATATATGAATATACAAGATGGATGTATAATATATATATATATAAGAAAATATATATAAGTAAGAAAGATATATTTGTGAAAAACAGAGACAAAGATTTTTTAATGTGCAATTCTTACAATACAAAAAATGGATTCAATGAATAATTTCTGAGCAAGTTATTTAAGTTTGGAAAAATCGAATGATCCAAATATTTCAACAAAAGAATTATAATTA